GCAAAGTTTTATATTCATTTGAATAATGAAATGAATACGAGTGCTTAGATATACTTTATGCAAAGAAATTAAACACTTTTTGCAAAGTGAAAATGGGAATGCAAGTAACCCAAGAAAAAGTAGGCTTAAAACATATATCTTAATTCGAAAAACATGAATTTGGAAGTCCAAAGAGTATTAAAAAGTTATTACTGGACGTAAGATTTCTTAAAGCCCCGTTGTTCGTCTTCTCTACCGCACTAGGACGTAAATCTAGGATTTCTACCTATAGATGTCGTGCCGTTGTGCTATATAATGCTTTGAAAACCGTGTTGATTCGTAACTGCTTTTTGTGGCATGAATTCTGTCGTTTCTAAGATGTCTATTATATTACACAGGCATGTGTCATATGAAGTGATAGTGAAAACATTTTACAATTTAGTTGTATTATTGTATGTATTATTCGCTCTCTTATACGTTTTTTTTTTTTTTTTTTGGGGGGGGGGGAGGGGGTTAGGACAAATAAAGCTTACATGCAACTCGAATTTAACCTAATCCCCTCTTAAAGTCTACCTTTGTTTCAAAATTTCAATGTATGGGCAACCAAAGTGTATAGTTGTGTAGGCATAACATACAATTTATACCAAGAAAATAGTAAATAGTAATAATTGAGGCTTAGAGATCGAGATCGGACTTAATACAAAAAAACTGGACCATATGGTATCTGCCTCTCAAATAATACATGTAGAATTTATCTGATGTTCTTAAAAAAGTTCAGTGAACATCTAATAAAGTTCATCTATATAATATGCCGAAATTAATTGAATAGAGGACCATTTAGGGTCACAACTCGGTTTCCTGTAGCTGTGGCTTTTTTCGAATTACGTGAAAGTGCCAATTAACATGCATTTCGTTTATCCCTAATTTTAATTTAATTTTTTTAATTTGAAATTTAAGATTTTATTGCATCAAACACATTGACAAGACAGGACAGGGTGGAATTTGAAATGTGTCTAGGTCCTTGGACGGGTTTACAACAAATGAAGATAATATTCGGCTTACATTTAGCTGATAAAGAATTCGTGTGTGTGTGAGGTGGCTGAAGGTTTATTCCATGATTTACAGCGTCATTTTTCTTTGAAGTGCACATGCTCAAGAGAAATCTAAAGGTGATACCTATATAACTTCAACTGGTGTCCAAAGCCAGCAACGTGGTTTGACGTAGAAAAGATCAAGAATATGATGTCCAGACGTGAAACGCAATCTCAAGTCTAAGTTAAGAACATACTATCTTAAATGTTAAAGGCCACAGAGAATCATGGCGGTAAACATTATCATTTTGCACAAGTGGAAAAATGCCATGTAGTTTTTAGCACAACATTACTTCCTATTTCATTTCCAGACTGTTTTTCTACCAAACGTCATATTTGAGAGTTATTCACTTTTAGCCTCAGCTGATACCAAAAACTGATCAAGATAGAGCACGCACAGAACACTACAGTGACTTTATTACTTTTTGTGTTTTTTCACTTTCTTTTTGCATTTTGCTCGCTGACTAAGGTGGTTGAAGGCACATAAGAGGCGAGAAAAAAGTACTTTGGTAAGTAAATATAGGCCAATCAGATCGCCATCTTTCCCCTAAGTATCAATACGGTATCCTTCACAGCGAAGTTTTCTAATAACATATTTTGTCAAAAAAGATTCACAGCATATTTTTACTTGAAGTTCTCATATCTGATTCCCGATATTTTGAAAAGCACTATATTTTCGTTCCTGCAATCATAGGTAATGAACTTTTAGACAACCCTGTTAAAGTCCACAGGCATTAAAACTGCTTTTCTATCGTTAATGAAACACAGATTAAACGGCGTTGGCAGTGAGATTTCTCATGAGACGCCGCAGCGCGATTTCTATCTCCCAGGCGCTTGCATTAGCAGGTAAGGTTTTCTTTTGATATTCGGTTCATTTCATTACTTTTTTACTACAACTTTTCACTATCATTGTGTCTTCAATTTCCATGTATAATCTTTGTTCGGTATCATGTAACGATGAGACTCTTTTCCACTAACATAAGATTTTTCAATATCATGATGTGATCGGTTTTGTTTTGGGTCAATATTGATAAAGGTTTTGTCAATTCTTTCTTTAATTATTTTGTGAATCTGATGACTAGAATTTGTCACTATTTACAAGGAAGCGCTTGCTCCAGGTTTAATATATTTGAACATTTTTATTTATTTATTTTATTTATTTATTAATTAATTTATTTATTTATTTATTTTTTGAAAAATCACAGATATATTATCATTTTGGTACTCGTGACTAACAAAATGATATCTGCTACCAGGTTGGCAGATGTTATAGGCATATTTTCCAAAAGCCAGAGACCCAAATAACCGTCTATTTATCTAAAGACATATCTGTGAATATCTTGTAAAAAATCAATCTGTCGCCCTGGTAGAGGGTAAGTCACAGGTAGGGTTGTGGGCTGATGCTGATAAAAATGCTTGTCGGGCAACTGTTTAAGACTTACAATACAACACGTATTTGAACCGCCTGCGATACTCATTTAGACGCTGACTGAAGAAAAAGTAAAATACTTCTGATGGATTGGGACAAAGGCAAGGCTAACACTTTATACTGAACTTCCTTGCCCCCACCCCTGTCCTGATAGGCTTGTTAAAACTTCCACGAAACTGCCCAGAAATAAAATAACTAGAACTTGAAAACACTTTTCTTGATTCTATGCGTCTAGAATTTTGATTATGGATCAGTTTCTGTTTTTCATTTGATTTGGGGCCTACAGCAGTGTGCGGCAGGTCATGCAATTATGTATCTTACATGTGAAAAGAGCGCATTTCAAGAACTAGGAAAATGTTTTTAAAAGTTAAATTCAGGTACACAACTGGCTACATATTGGAAAATAGTCGCCACGAAGTCTAGAACACAATGAAGGCGTTTATAAAATTCAAATGTGCATGAGGACTAGAATTATAGTCTCATAACATTAATTTGGTATGCGTTGATTTATGTTTGAATATAATCAAGGTGCACGCAAGGCAACCCACAGGGGCATTACACGTTCGGTTTTTATAGGGTGAGGTTGGGAGTTTTTGAAGTAAATAACACCATTAAGCAGTGCAGTAAATTAACGTGCATCCCAGGGACCCTGCCTGCCGTGCTCAAATAAGCAAAAGTTATTTCGAAAGTCAAACAGATTAAATCGGTTTGATGTTCACTTGGAAGTTACCTTGAGTTCACCTGTAGAGTACGATAGTGTAGAGTAATAATGGGTAATGATTGGCTCCAAAGGGGCGCTTTAATTTAGACAATTGGACGACACACCTGGATCACGTACTATGATGTAACTTACAAGTGAAGTTTTGACTTGAATTATAAGTTAGTAGAAGAGCAATTACAGGGTGCACGAAGACGGTCATTATTTCCTTCCTCGTGGTCGAGGGGTCTCCACCGACTGATCAAAGGTGTCAAAATACACTCCGGTCTGATCTTATCTTTTTCAGAAAGTTAATTTGAATTCCAATTTTCTCTTTAGCGTCGCGCCACCTCGGCACGCGACTGTAACTTTTCTCTGCATTTGTCTGATATGATATGGTCAAATGTATGCATATATATATAAATAAGAGTTATAGGCCTACGAACGTGCTACATGCTTAATTTAGGTAATGACGCCTCAGGTAGACTAAGTATTTGAAATGGGGGACATGGGGACATTTGAAAATAATGGATTTCAGTAGGGGGAATTAAATTAAGAAAAAATCAAATTAACAAAATAAGAATTCCCAGGACCTGTTTTTATGTTTTTGTGGTTTCAAATTAAATTTTAACTTCTATACCCATGGCTTATACCGCCTGTTACGAATCCCAAAAAAATAAAAAGCGAGAAAGAAAACGGCACTGGGGAGCAAAATTTACGGCAACTAATGCTTGTTTAAGATTAAGAGCATTTTGAAAGTCGTCAAATTTTATTAATTATAATTCATAATTATTATGTTCTTTCAATCCCAAATATTATTATACAAAAGTCGCTTCTTACGCGTGACGTCACGATTTGAAGTTAGAGGCGCTGCAATCACGTGGCTGTAAACTTAGTCCAAACACAGCGCCGTACGGAGCGGACGAATGAAAGGTAGGCTGTAGCTCCAATCTAACTTGCTACTTTTGGTCTTTTAAGACTTCTTCATGTACATTGTTTTATTCATATGTATAGATGTAATATAAATGCTTTCTATTTTGCGTTTGGTTAAGAGCTGCACGCTTGCTAAAACTTTTTAGAGAGTTTGACAAACTTCCCATGTTTAGCAGTGTTGTGATTTCCAAAATGGAGGTCATTCATTGTCAAAATGCGACCTACGCAGCGTGGTAACGTGGGAATAAAGGGGGGTTCGTTATACCTAAGGATGTATTAACTTTGATGTGACATGATGTTGAAACTGTTTAAGAACGGCACTGTTGAGACATGGACTGCTAGCGTGTCGGGTCATACTGAGGTTGAATACTTGTCATAGACGTCGCTCCCTCATTTTAGGTACGTCGGGGATTTCATCCATCATTTCATTTTTCGAAAAAAAAAAACCTCTTATACTTGATGTGCTCTAAATGATTTGGCCAAGGAAACGGTAAAATAAGCATTATTATTATTTTTTTTACAAATTTGTATTCTGGTAATACGTAGAGAATGATAATACGTAGAGTATGTACAGTTTGATGGAAAAACCAAATGTAATACTCGGTCTTTTTGTGTCTGAAACTCGATAAATAAAATATAAATTCAAAAGCCCCCCAAGTTCTGTATAAAATATAATGACATTTTGATGCAGAATGTCAAATGTCTGGAAACAATTTTTCTCAATTTTACGTCACTATAACACTTGTGTTGTGGTGACTTGGAAACAAAGTAACAATTTCCCATATTTTATTCACAAAATTATAGGTGGACACTTACGTTGATAAAAGATATTCCACTCAGAGGTTTAATAGAAAAAAAAAATAAATTGAATATTGTAGAATTTTAAGGTGACATAAAATATTTGACCAAGCGCACTTATTTATAATTTTGGTATTAGTATGATAATTAGAGAGGTATGTGTTAGAAACTAACTTTAATGTAGTGGATTTATTGGTTTCTTTCAACAATTAACAGTTGATATAGTCAACTGTTGAACATTCCAGACCACTGTTTGTTTGTCTTGGGTATAAACAACCATATAACCTGGAAAATCAAGATTTATAGCTTCTGAGTTGTTCTGGAGTCCATTGATATTTGATAGTTGTTAAATGTAGTACTAGCAAGAACAGAAACAAGACAATGAGAGGGTAATTGCATTCCCGAAGTCTTATCTTTATTTCTGTTTAACCACCTCAAACTGGGGACTGCAGAAATAGCCCTTGCTGCAGCCGCAAGGCGCAGATAATTGGCTATTATTTTTGATCTGCACAAATGCCCTTATGATAAGGTAAACTGATTTTTAAACAATACTGGAATATTTACTGATAACATGGCATTTAGATTATGTAAGGTTTTATAGTATTTATGACTGCTTTTATAGATAATATGAAGGAAAATGATTCAAAATGAGACCGTTTTATGGTTACTGACTTCTGATTCATTCATTCATTCTTGGTTGATTGATAAAATGTGGACAGCAAATACTAGGAATGGTTATGTTTAAGTGTATGGCATCATAATATGGCAAGCAGCTGGATTGATTGAGGAAGTAGGAAATAAACATTTTAATTAAGAAAACCTGTTGCATGAGCTTCCTTTTCTAGCAGTTCTATGGTAGTATACAACACTGACATTGTAAATGGGCACCACAATGTTTGGCTGTTCAATTTCCTTAGGGAATGCTATTATAAATTTTTGGAAAACAGAATTGTTTTTACTTGGCTCAGCAACAGTTCACTTAGTAAAACCTACTTTTCAAATGAATTACTCCACTATGTTCCACTCAAAGAAAAGGAATTGTATTCTTCAGTTCACAAATGTGTGGTGAAGGTGATTACCTGTGCACCAGATGCCTGAACAAGTAAATGTTTGCCGGGGACAATAAATTACTTCCACCATGGGACACATCAGTCTCTGTGAAAAATCCCTGCTTTCAATTGCAAGACCAATGAGCCTGTATTGATGGCTTAATTACTGGATAAAGACACAGGTAACTGGTGAACTGGCCAGTGGCAATTTAACACTTCTTTAACTAGGTGGAATCTCTCTTGGAAGTAAGTAGCTCAGAGTACAGGAGTGATTGGCATGGCCTTATAACATATGGTGGGCCCTTATGTCATAGCATTTCTCTGACCCCCAATAGGTAAAAAAATAAGCTAAGAAGGGATGTTTGCAGTTCATTGGTTTTCTCCTCTCTGATGTTGGATGATTGGCGTTTTGTCAAAAGTTCAGCATCTGCTGCTCCTTTCTTTGTGCACTTGTCGGTAGTGGTATCTGGTGTCACAATTGTGGTGGTGTGGACACTGTGCTAGGGAATGCATTTACAGTCTTGAAGAGTAGATAGTGATAGTAAAACTGGGAGGGAGTTTCCTAGACCAGGTGTGAAGATGCTGAAAATACTTCTTAGTAACCAAGATTGTTAACCTTTGCAATGATTTATTTTATTTTGCAGTTTGATTATTGAACCTTAGCATGAAGTGGTAATGGGATTCTGTACTATTTACTATTTACTTGATTTCAGTCATTTCAGTTTATTTTTTTAAACCAAACAAGTAGCTTATGTTTAGGTGATTCATGTTTTTCTCTTCAACATTGATTTCTTATCATTTGAAAAAGAAAGAAATGATAGAAAAAAGGAAAGTGAAGTGAGAAAAGATAAGAAAATGAAAAAAAAAATTGAAAAAAGATTTTTTAATATAAGAGCATGCAAAAAATGGGTCAAATGCTGATGTGGGTGATGTTTTTTTTTTCCAACTGCCACCATCTGGTCTAAATCAGTGGAAAATCTGTATATCCTAGTCAGAAAAAAACATCATAGGTAAATGTGCTGTCCAGTCAAAAAAGAGTATTTAGTTCAGCAGTGATTGAGTCTTGGTAGTATTTTCAGTTCTGTTTATTTAAGAGTTGCAGACCTGTTTTTAGACAAACTGATAGCTTCCTGTCTTGTAAAAAGAATTGGCTAGTGAAACGATCTTAGTTGTTTAAAGCCAAGTTCAACTGTAGTTTTGGTATCACTTCTTTATTGATGAGGCAAATGAAAAGATCACTTCTATGAGTTTGACGCAAGTAACAGAGATAAACCAGCCTCACTCTGATTGGCTTCTCACTTTTGCATGTGATCTCCACTGAGAGTGCTGATAAAGGAAGGAAAAAATAAGACATGCAAGCCTTCTTGATAAAGTGTGCACAGTTTATATGTTCAGAAGAAAAGAAAGCCTCTCATATAATAGCACCATAAATGAAAAATTAGCCCCAGGTATTTTTTTTCCAAGTAAGGCAGCATGATAAGTGAAGGAAGGTTAGTATAATGACAGTTGGAGTAGTAAGTGGAAACTTGAATGCCAGGTCACAATCAGTAGCTTGTCCTGCATATTCAACAAGTCGGTAGTCGGCAGGACAGATGCTTTACTGATAAGCCTCCCTGTTGATGAAGGTATAGAATAGCAGGAGAGTGAAAAATGATTGTTTCCAGACAAGGCTTTGCATTTATAGGCCCCTAACTTTTTAGTATACAGATGCTTGGGTTTGAATTTTAAGTTAAATGATTTTTTTGTTTTCTCACAGATATTGAATGACAGAAGCTGAGAGAAGATAAATCGCAGTGATGCCGTGGTGGAAGTGATAGTACCAGTTAAAAAGACACAAGGAATCATGAACAGAACAATTTGGAAACACGCATTATTAAAACTGTTGATATTGACATTGATTTTTGCTGTAGTCTGTGCAAAGAGACACAACAGGAAAAACAGTAAGTAGATATTTTCATTTGATTTAAATAAAATTAATTTTTTGTTAAAGTTTTTATGTAGTTAGAAACAAATTAATAAGATTGTTTGAAAATTTTTAACATGATTTATTCTTTCATTTGACTAAATGTTTGATGTATAAATGGGTAAAGACCAGCATGAAATCAGAATTTGATGACTATTGCAAAGCTCAAATTTGTGTATAGCTGAACCCAATTTTCAGCCATCGTAGGAGTATTGTGGTTCAACACAGCTGCTTTGAAGGTTGACAAAAAGTTAATGGTCCATCTGCAAAAATTTTGTGGGTTCATGTTGAAATTGGATCCTACCAAGAAAATGGCTTTTCCCAACAAAAGAATCCACATAAATCAAAATTTATTTTGCCATTGTTGTGCTACAATGATTTTAACCAGTCATAAGATTTATTGTATTCTGAGGCAAAGAAAAAGGGTTGAGCAAAATTCATTGATGAAACATTGAAGTATTAATTGCCACTTGAGCCATTCAGGTTCAGTTCCTAAAGTTTGCAATCCTAATACTTTGATGTTGCTGAAAACATTACCATTTTGAAATACAATTTATTCAAAGATTCAAATCGTGAAAGATTAATTGGTAATATTATGGCGCTTCCCTAAAATGAAAGTATCAAGCAAAGTATAGTACGCCAAAAAGAGTGAAATCTCCACTTTGCTGTACTTCTCTCAGAATGGTCAATTTTGGGAACTGTGCCTTGCTGGTCAGTGACATTGAATAGACTGGGGTCAGTTGAGAATAATGAGAACCAGAATGAAGGAAGTCTACTAAAAACAGGCATGTCTTAGTCTTGGGCCCTTTCACAGCAGGTTGTTGGGATACACATTACTTGTCTGTCTTATGTGGAAAGTGTCTTCATTGACAATTGTTCCTTCTAGAATGATATAGGCATGTGGAATTATGTAGGTGCAGAGGAAAAAAGCTGGCACTGAAATGTGCCTTTTGAAAAACAAGCTAGACATTTTCTTCAAGCAGATTAGCAGTTAAACTTTTCAAGCATGTGTCACTGAAACCACATCTGCTCTTCTGCTTCAGAAAACTAATTTTACCCTGGCAAACTTATAAAGCAGCCCTGGTAGAAACCTTTCTATCAACTAGTCTGCTGGGGCACAAACCAAATGAAGTTAGATTTGAAACCCACTACTTTTGAATACTAAGATTAAATTCTAATGTTAAATTGTTTATTGTGGCAACTACTATTGAATATTGTAATTTCCATCATGGCTGCAAGAGCAAAAATAAACAAAGTAAACAAGGACCCACATGCCATCTGCTTGCTTACCTGAAAGGTGAGGTGTGCCACTATGCAGCCCCTGTATTGTTTGTTGTGAGAAAAAACATGCCAGGCCTCTGACAACATCAGACTTGCCTAACATTTTCTAATGAGCTCACAGACACTTTTCTAAATAACGGAATAACCTGAGCTTAAAATTCATATAAACAGAGTGGTTGTTAACAGAGGAAACCAGTTGGTAATATTGCACAATTGAAAAAATAAGTAATCAAGAAAATTACTAGTTTTGTGTTAGGTATATATGTAAGACTGAATGTTGGACTTAGTACAACAAACTTGGCATTTAAAAGGTGAATCTAGGTGTGAAGGTGGGGGTTTAATGCTCTCTTTGGACTCCTGAATTTGATTGCAAAGAACGAGTACACAAATTTGCACTAATTGCATTTGGGGCATCTGGATGCGCTTTTTATTCCCTTTTATGTACCCAGATGTATGCGTGTTGTCTGGGAGGCAGGGTAAATTGTTAATAAAATGCCACTGGAATATAAATAAAGGTAGAGAAAACATTGCAAAGGTGGAGAAAGCTGTATCTGTTATGAGATCGTCTATGGGTCATTTCTGAATTCTAGATCGTTTCCGTTAACACCTCTGCAAAGGAAATATGTTGTATGAAAAGTCATCCTGGTTCTTTAAATTGGTGAATCTGTAGGTATCTATTTGTGGTTGCCCTTGTTTTAGAATTCTTGAATTTACACCTGTTTTCAGTTTTTTAATTTCCTCAAATTTTACATTGATCAAAAGGGAGATATAGTTATACTTATGTATATAAACATTCATTTCTCATGGCATGTAACCTCTTTTATCTAAGTTTTTGATATGGACGACTGTGTTCCTCCCAAATTATTTAAGGAATTTGCAATCCCATGCTCATTAATTATTTATAAATTTCTAGTTAATACTTCAATATTTTAAATTTTAAGATTATAACACCACAAGACTTATTAAAGTAAAATTTCTATTACAGCCATAAAGCTGAAAATTTTGCGGTCAAATGAATTTTAAAAGATTAAACAAAATGATTAAGATTACTTTTTTATTTTGATTATGAAATAAACATAAAAAATAAACACAGCATACGAAAAAAAAAAAAAAACATACACGCGCACACATGTACAAAAGCACTTAAATGAAATGCTACATACACACACATGCACTGTTACTTGTTCACTCACTTGTAAGTGTACATTACAAAAATTACATAACATAAATTACATTACATAACATATGAAAAAATAAAGATGAAAAATTTAAGAAGTTTGTCTTAGCCTGACTGTGGGAGAAAAAATAAGACATAACCATGGGAAAATGCTTTTTGTGGAAATCATGATATTCCCAGGCTACTTCATGTGCAACTTCCATGAAAAGTGCTCAGAAAGGGTTTCCCAGGGTTTTCTGGGAATATTAGTGTTGGAAAAGGTGTTCTCCATGCTACCTGGCACAGGAAATCCTACTTTCCTCAAGCAGGAAGATCCTGATTGATAATGCAACTAATTATAAGGATAACTGTTAATTGAAATTTTCATAGCATATCTCTACATTCCTCACCCACATGCCACTTTATCTGTGCATCTCTCCCCATATTTCACCCAACAAAAAGATGGTGACAGCTGAGTTGAGTATTTATCCTTCATGTAGTTTTGTTTGTTTATCTGTTATTTTGAAACTGAAAACAAGCGTGTTAGACATACGCAATCTTGAAGGAATATAAATTTGGATTGGGAAATGCAGGGAAAAAACATAAGGTCTTTCATGTAATTCACCTGCATCAAAAAGAACATGTGAGAAATAGATTTGGAAGATATTACAGTTCAAATTGAAAGATTGAATTACTGCATCTTGGTAACATTTACCATATTGAGTTAGGGTTAGCTGAAAAACTTGGCCCTATCCACAGTTAGGTTCATGGTTTCAATTTTGAACTTAATGAAAGCATGGTCATGTTTATTTTTCCAATATTTGTAGACACACTTTGTAATTAAAAGCCATGCCCTTTCCTGCACTTTTTGCCACATGGTCTCCGAAACATTTAAGATGTTGTCAAGATTATTCATCACATATGTGACAGTTTTAACTGCATGCAGATAGCAATGGTGCTCTTTAGACCACAACTATTTAAAAAAAATTTTTTTTCAAAGAATTGGAGTTTAGACCATAGTAGGTTATGTAGTGGCTTGTAACACACATACATGGGCTCAAATTGAGGTTCTACTGCACGGTCCATTTAAACTAACTGCAAGTACCAGGTAGTTCAGGTAGCATAAAACTATAGTAGCAGATCTGTCATCATTATCTGGAGACTTCCCGTCAATATGTAAGAGTCATTAGATCCAGTACCCCAGCCTGCCATGCCCCTGCCATTCAAGACCCTCTACTATTTTCTCACATCTTATATTACTATCCACATTCAGGGCTGTCAACTTATGTGTCATAGGACAGTGCAGTGTATACTGTACTGTATAAGGTATCACTGAGACAGAGACTGAAATTGTGTTCTGGAACTGAGATTCCTGGCAAGTTGATGAGGTGGGAGCGTCCTGACTGGCTGCATTGTGTACCCTCTTTAATGTGCCAGGCATGTTGTGGCCTCTCATTACTGTGTTTGTCACCTTACTTGACAGCAGCTATTGTAGCATGTCAGGTAGGGGTGAAAACTAACCCAGTCTCCACACAATTTTACTGATGCTGAACGCATGAGAGGACTGAGACTGTACACCTGCTGAATAAATGTTTACATGCAGAGTCAAGATAGTTGTACCAAAGAGCCCTTTTTCTTTTCCCATCCCTTTTCCCCCCACCAGTCAAAACTGGGCCTTGCTGCACCATTGCCTTTGGCATATGATAACCTGGGAAAGTTAAGCCTGAACTTTAGCAGCCAAAGCTACAACTGTTTGTTAGCAGTAAATCACAGAAAATCCCCTTTGATAGGAGGCACCAAGCTTACAAGGGTGCTGGCTAGAACTCTATGTATGTGGCATTTTACTATACTGAATGAGATTTGTGAAGCTTAGGTATGAGTGACTGGGTAAGACTCTTTGGCAGCCAGGATAATCAGTAATGAAGGATTATCTCCATTGAAATACATTTGCAATCCAGGGGATGAAAATTCTTCTCTTCCAGTCTAGAAAATGGGGCTATGATTATTGGGATGAAGATTTGATAAATCAGTGTTGCTATCAAAAATGCAAAGAATATTTGCAGATTGGACAACTATCTCCTGATCTACCAGGGTTATTACAAAAGTGAGGCCCAGTGCAGGAACAAGCTGAGAACCATAAAATAAGCCCAAGATATATTTATCATAAGTCAACAGAAATGAAAGTTTGTAAATTGATAAATTCCCCCTTGGGGGATATTTGAAGTGAACTTTGCTCATGATTTTAGTGATTATGAAGGTGAAAATGTCTACTTCTGAGTGATGAAGGACTTTTATTTCCCATTTTGGTTACATAAAGGTGGGTCTACACCTTAACATTCCAGCTGTTTGATGCTTGGATTTTGTAACCTGGCAGGAAGACCATCAATATTTGATAAACAATTTCTTGAGTGTGTTTTTGTTGAAACTGCTTTCCCTTCTTCTTTGACAAACATACATCTAGTGTGATCCCCGGGGACAGCAAGGGACTAGTTTATTACCTTGTAGACAGTAGTAGCTGCAGCTTGGATATTGCCTTGTCT